TAGAGATGGATTCTATGTAGTGTTCTATAACTGTTTTTAGAATGTTGCCTGGTTACATTATGTAAAATTACTTAACCAGTGTGTGAGACATAAGAATGTAAATGAAAAAAACTAACAAAACATTTATTGTAAAAAAATGTAGCCTTGATTGATGACATGAAAAATGAATGGGTACGAGATCGCAGCACTGCTTCAGTGACTGATCTAATGACTGAAAAGGGCTTAGTCTCTAAACTGGTGACATTATATACTTCTAGTGTGATTTCTAAGGCCTGGTTGTTTTGTTCTGCACCCAAGTGTATCAACCATACCCCAACATGCATTCAATGAAAGTTGAGTTATCACTGATAAAACTACAGGTGCTGTGACACTTTCCCAGCTTTCCCTCCATGACTGACTGGTTGCAAGTCAGCATAGATGCAAGTCCCCACGTGAATACAACAAGGATTAATAATGCATAGTATATTATGAATCAGCCGGACTGAGTACGCTGGAAAGGCAGTCACTATTGTTGCATGAGCATACCACCCATCTTGTAACCTTGCACTATTACTGCGACTGGGAACTAGACAGTCTGGTTTGGATCCAACAGTGTGTGAGTGGAAGCCTGCACATGCAATGAGACCTCCCCATTCTCTCCTTGCCCTGTAGCTATCCCATATCCTCAAAACCAGTTTTAGAGATTCCCCCACTCCTCTGGGTCAGACTTGGTGGATGTGCAGGGAAGGAAAGGAATCTGTGCCACCAGCAGTTCCCTTCCACTAGTGTGAAGGTACCACAGTCAGTGCAAGAATGTGGGCTGGTGCTCTGCTAGTAACCTTACTCACTTGGGGGACCATCTCGTTGCACGGTAAATAACTGATTTAAAAGTATAGTGTAGGTGGAAAGGAAGCTATAATTCATTAATGTTCCATCTGATAGAAAGCTGGTTCACCACAGAGCCAGTTACACTGACATAAAATTCTGCACCTAGCATTTGGTAATAACATTTTATAACAAGACTCCCAACAGGCTGCATAACAGAGTGCACATTCCCAACATGCTGAGCTCAATATGCTCACAAGGCTATGCTGTTTCAAATTGCTGTGCCCTGTTGAAGTTATTCATATCTAAAGCATTACGTTTTTGACTGACTGTAAGGAATACAAAGTATGTATTTTGGCATAGCTTGTTTTTATCCTAGTATCCTAGATCTAAGAAAAAGGTACAGTGTGATAAATTATTATGAACCACCCAGAGTGGGAAATATATAAATGTAATAAATAAATAAATAAATAAATAAATAAATAAATAAAATGGAAGATGTAGTTTAAACTTGGATGGCAGGGGACAGCAATGTTCAAACCCAAAGGCAGTCATGAATTCAGTTTTGTCTTGCAACCACATCTCCTGTAGGACCTACTCAAATAGTAATAAAACTTAATAAATATTTTTACACTGTTGTCTCAAAGTTATTTAATTGAATGTTTTTCTTTCTTGTGATGGCTGACTCTAGTCCTGCTGTTTTCAAATACTTATAATAAAAAGAGGCTTTCAAAACTTGTAAATTATGTCAAGTCATTTATGCAACCCCACTCTTCTATAGTATCTATGGAAAAACATTTGCCATAGATACACAGCTAAGAAGGTGGTAGGCTATGATTATTGCCACTGATTAGCTTGATGAATGTGCAAATTGTACACTGTCCACACTAAAGCTCATTATAGTTACTTCATCCTACAACTCCTTACTGACCTATTCATTATAACTTGCATTTGCCACAATATTCGTTAATACTGTGCTGTCATTCATCATGACTATATAGCAATTTACACAAAGACAGTTCTACAAGCAGCACCTTAAAGCATTGTCACAACACAAATAAAAAGATAACAGTCACTAACAATAGTGCACAAAATACCTCTTGCAGTTAGAAGTGACTAAACAATGAAGCTTTTGTTCTCTTACCATTTTTTATATCTGTAATAACAAATTGTGTAGGTGAACTTTCACTTTCAGCTTGTTCCTTCTTCTGGCTGATAGTTGAAATGAAGTTGCTGAAGGAAGAAATTTCACTTTTGGATCCTATCTCCAAAGTCTGCAATTAACAAACAAGTAATACATCTAATGTAACTTAATACTACAAAGCTCCTCTTTCACTGAAAAGCAGAAACATGACAAAAGAAAAGGAATTTCTGAATGAACATCAAGATAATTTTTCCATTTTTAAAAACAAAACTACCAGGAATGCAATTCAGAGAAAATACTCTGGGCTAGAAAGACTAATCCTATGGTCTTAGAAGAGCCTCCTAGGAACCATAGGATTCTTCAGATTCAGCCCTTCAAGGGCACAGCTGCTCCTATGAACTAGAACTCTAGTACTGATCCCTCCCTCTGTCCTTTCTCACTCTCCTCCTTTCAGCTGCCATAGTAAGAACCTTTCCAGCTCCTTTCCAAGAACACCGAAGAGACCTGGAAGTCTCCAGAGATGTTTGAAAGAGGATGTTCAGCTTGGTGGAGTGGGAAGAGGAAAGACTAGGCTAGCAGAAATTCTGTGGCATTTTCAGCTCCAGTTCCACCCCTTCCAGTTTTCAATAAAGAAAACTGATTCTTATAATTGTGTGCATATAAATATATAATACTTTGCCTATAACTCAGAACACAACTCGTTTTAACATGGGGATATATTTATAAGAAAAAAACATTTTTTAGAAGTGAAAAGGTCAATACTTTATAAAATGTTCCCATGCAGTTGATAATTTTATGTAGACATTTAAAATGATAATATTAAATCAGTATGTAATTAAAGAGCAAATCATATAATCTTCCCATATTTAACAAGAAACAAGAGGTTGGGTACTATACTAATTCCAACAGTGTGCTGAGACTGCTCTTGAACTTCTTTGCCTCTTGTCAGCAAGGATTCTGGAAAGAATATAACTGTATCATTTGCTATATGGAAATGTGTGCCCCAAGAAGTCAGGCAGGCAATTAGTACAGAGACAATGTATGATGAACACAGATGTAACACACTCCAGATAGCTATTCTGAGATAGGAAAAACTACTCAGAAAAAATATACTTGTATAAAGTATGCAATAATGTCATCCACCAATAAAAATAGCTCAGGAAATAAAACTGATCTACTTTGCTTCTTAAAAATTACAGTGTGCCACCCACTAATCTGATTTCATTATAAATTAAGAGCTATTTAGAAAATCTTAGTAGGGTGACTTCTCATAGCTGCAAAAGGACCTCAATAGTACAAAAACAAATTTATGTTCCACATGCTAAGGAAGTCAGTCTATTTCTTCAAAAGGTTTAAGGCACTGCCAATTGAATGCTCCTGTGCTTCACAAAACAATGTGGGAAGCTAAGTGGGATGCCTACAAGAATATACACTACATTTTGAATAATAAAAGTTACTTGGGTTCTGCAAACAACTTGAATGAACTGGAGCTGAAATTGCTCTATAGTGTTGACAAGCAGAGGCCCACAAAACCACTGCTTGAACGTACCCTTTAGATATTCTTTGACCTATGTGCATAGCTCAGATAGCATTTAAATGACCAATACAAAACAGCAGGGTTCACTCACTTGGATTGTTTTTTGTAGAATCAGCATGATCTAAGCCTCATCAGCTGGATCATTTAGCTTGGGCAGGAGTTGCTTGCATGTAAGGGGCCCCAATAAACCTGAGCCACCTGTCCAGAAGTTCTGAATAGCAACTTCCATTAGAATCAGCCAGCATGATGCGCACTGTAATCCAGAACAGGATTGGGGAGGAATGGTTCAAAACTAATGTGTGGATAGGAATAAGTGGTGTTGCATTGCCACTCCCATAGCGTAGTTAATAATGAAGAATGATGAGAGCTGCAGTCCAACAACATGTGGAAGGTCTCATTCTCTCCATCCTAAAGAGTACTTTTTTTAGAGGAGGTTGAAGAAAACAGAGCTTCAGTCCAGCCACAGGAGGAACAGATGTATGAACAAGGAAACTGAGTCTGTATTCCTTCATACTATTTTTTCCTAAAAAAGAATTTGCAAAGGTCAAATTCTTTAAATATACTCCTGAAGATAAAGGTCATGTGCGCTTCTGCCATCAAACAATCCAAATGATGAAAACTGAATTTGGGAACCAATGTGCTTGCTTGCTTGCTTGCTTGCTTGCTTTATTTATTTATTTATGCATGCGTGCAAATAGAAGCAATTGTTAGATTTCTTAACATTATTTTGTTTTTGCCAGTCATGGAATAAGTAAATCCCAGTCCCCAAACATCTGAAAAACTCACTCAGTCATCTCTTAAACTCCCAAGACTTTAAAAGGAATTGCTCATATAAGGGCTAGAAACTTCTTTTTAGAAAAGGAAATAAAATAAAGCTAATTTACTCATTTACATTAAACTGTTTTGTGTGTTGCATAAATATTAAGCATACAGGAAGCAATATAAAGGTGAAATTATACTCAGAACATTTAAAAAAAACCCTTTGGCATAACTGAAATCCAGTGCAACATAATTCTCCCCGCCTCCCCATTTTAAAATGTTTTATAAGCCTTGACGTTCATTACCAAAATATCATTGTGTTCCTGTACCTCCATCTGTTCCTCGCACTAGATACAATGAAGCATTTTTGTAATGTAGCTATAATTTTAACACTTTTTCCTATTTCTTTTTGCCAGTCAAGCCATTCAGATAAATACAGTTAATATAGTATTTTGTTATGCTTCTACTAAAATAGATGTGTTGACTTTCCTCAAGTCACAGCTATCCATTTGCGAAGAAGATAACCAATATACATAGATCTAGCTTCTGTGGAATTCAACAGTGGTTAGTAGACATGCATAAAACTGCATTGTAAATCCCACTGAGATACCATTATCTTATCTAATTTGGTTCTCAAAATTTTATAGCAACCATTAAAAATATCTTATTTTTCATGTAATATTTTTATTGGCTTTAACATATAACTTGCATGCTACTTTGCCTACACCTGAACACAGTCCCAGCTATTTATTTATTAGATTTAGATCCTACCTTTTTTATTTTTTAAAGAACTCAAAGTGGCTTACGTGTCTTATTCTCAGACTTGTCCCCACAACAACCCTGTGAGGTAGGTTGGGCTGAGAGTCTGTGACTGGCCCAAAGTCCCCACTTGGCTCCATGGCTGAGCAGGGATTAGAAACCAGATCACCTGAGTCCCAGTCCTGTACTCTTAACCACTGCATCACACTGGTACTACAAAACACTGATACTGACCACTTGTGACTGTGTAGCTAATTTTTCGGGAAGATGGGCAACTGACTTCAAATGGGCCTTCTTGTCCCAGGAATTTTGTGCTCAGAGTGTCCCCACACTGACAGCTGATTGTTGTTGAGTCGTGAAGTCGTGTCCGACCCTTGCGACCCCATGGACAACATTCTTCCAGACCTTCCTGTCCTCCACCATCCCCCGGAGTCCATTTAAGCTCACACCAACTGCCTCAGTGACTCCATCCAGCCACCTCATCCTCTGCCGCCCCCTTCTTTTCCTCCCAGCATTAGGCTCTTCTCCAGTGAGTCCTTCCTTCTCATTAGGTGGCCAAAGTATTTGAGTTTCATCTTCAGTATCTGGCCTTCTAAAGAGCAGTCAGGGTTGATCTCCTCTAGGACTGACTGGTTTGATTGCCTTGCAGTCCAAGGGACTCACAGGAGTCTTCTCCAGCACCACAGTTCTTCGGTGCTCAGCCTTCCTTATGGTCCAACTTTCACAGCCATACATTGCCAGTGGAAAACCATAGCCTTGACTATACTCACTTTTGTCAGCAGGGTGATGTCTCTGCTTTTTAGTATTCTGTCTAGATTTGCCATAGCTTTCCTCCCCAGGAGCAAGCGACTTTTAATTTCTTGGCTGCAGTCCCCATCTGTGGTGATCTTGGAGCCCAGGAAAATAACATCTGTCACTACTTCCGTTTCTTCCCCATCTATTTGCCAGGAAGTGAGAGGACAGGATGCCATAATTTTAGTTTTCTTAATGTTGAGTTTCAAGCCAACTCTTGCGCTCTCCTCTTTCACCCGCATCAAGAGGCTCTTTAGTTCCTCTTCACTTTCTGCCATGAGAGTGGTATCATCTGCATTTCTGAGGTTGTTGATTTTTCTTCCAGCAATCTTAATTCCAACTGGTGATTCCTCTAGCCCCGCCTTTCTCATGATGTGCTCTGCATATAAGTTAAATAGGCAGGGCGACAGTATACAGCCTTGCCAAACTCCTTTCTCAATTTTGAACCAATCAGTGGTTCCATGTCCAGTTCTCACTGTTGCTTCTTGACCCGCATATAGGTTTCTCAAGAGACAAATAAGATGG